TGTGTGTGTGTGTGTGTGTGTGTGTGTGTGTGTGTGTGTGTGTGTGTGTGTGTCTGTGTGTGTGTGTGTGTGTGTGTATGTCGTTCCAACTCTAAACCACCAGTACCCGGCCCCAGGCTGAGAAAAAACATATGGCTCAATCCTAAAATTTTGGAGGTTCAGGGCTACCGGACCACAGTGGCTTGTTGGGTCAAGCATGAGAATGAACATCAGAAACCTGCTACCCTTTAGGAAAGAGATTATGTCGGGGTCAAAAATGTCCGAGTTCTCTGATGAGTCGCCTAAGCTCTTGCCACTTTACTACAGGCCTTGCTCTATTCTCAAGCTTCCAGGCGATAATGAGTCTGGCTCCCCGTACGTCGTTGATGTGCCTCCGGATCTGCGTACGGACCCGGTGTTTCATGCTTCTAAGTTGTATTCTTGCACAACTCCTGACAATTTCCCCAGCAGGAGACCGTTCCGTGAAACGAGTTGTCCACTCATGCACCCAGCAACCATGGTGATGCTCCACCCAAAGGCTGAGTGAGGCGGAGCACTTAAAGGGTGGAGTAGTAGTAGTGGGATCTAAGGCAAGACTTGGTTATGGAGGTATAGTGGTGAGTAGAGGTTGAAGGAGGATGGGGGAGGTAGGAACCGACAAGGAGACTTACCTTTGGCTACGGTGGACCTTCATCTTTATCGTCCTGGGCGGCGCTGCATCACGAAGGCCCCTGCTGAGGTACCAGCTGAATATGGACTTCCTCCGGAGGTTGGCTATGTCAATAGATAACGCGAGAGTTTTTTTTTTTTTTTGTTGTTGTTATGTGGCCCGATGGACCATGAATCAGATATTGAACTGATCAGAACAGATACTATACTTGATCTTACTTAGCCAAAAAGCTGAGAAAGGTATTGCGGAAGAGGCATTCTAGTAGTTGTTCTCCTTTGAACATCCGTGGTAGTCATGGATGAGATGCCCGAGCTAGTAGCCATACTAAGTGGAGTGGAGAGGGGAAGGAAACTAAAGGAGAGTTAAGTTATTTATGGACTGGCAGTAAGAGGGATCATTTACACATTGATTCGTGTTGACAATGTATTTCATTGTTAATAAAGCGCCGGATGTGAGTATATGAGGGAAATGATGAAGGCGAGAAAAGGAGGGCGATGACATTTGGTCCAAGCTGCTTCTCTTCTTCCTCTTCTTCCTCTTCTTCTTTGTCGTCACCATCGTCGTCGTTGTCTTCTTCTCTTCCTCTTCTTCTTCTCCCTCGTTGTCATTGCCGTAGTTGTCATCGCTGTCGCCGTCTTCTTCTTCTTTCTTCTGTTCTTCCTTTTTTTTCTTCTTTTCTTCATTCTTCTTCTCTCCTGAACTCTTTCCTTTTCTTCTTCTTGAGCCGCAATGAATAGCATCGTCTCGAATTGGAGTTTTGCTTCATAAAATGGATAGTGTTATGACCTGTCATCACACGGACTGAAACAGACAGCCGATTTCTGAGTCTTGCCGTGGAATGCATGCCATACTAAGTTCCCCCGCCTGCT